GGCTGTAGGGTGGGATATGTGGCTGTAGGGTGGGCTATGGGGCCATATAGGGTGCGCTATAGGGCTGTAAGGTGGGCTATAGGGCTCTACATTGTGCTATGGGGCCATATGGTGGGCTATATGGCCAAATGGGGTGTGCTATGGGGCTGTAAGGTGGGCTATGGGGCCATATAGGGGGTGCTATGGGGCCATATAGGTGGCCTATGGGGCTATACATGGCACTATAGGGCCATATAGGGTGTGCTATGGGGCTGTAGGGTGGGCTATAGGGCTCTACATCACTCTATGGGGCCATAAGGAGGGCTATAGGGCCATATAGGGGGCGCTATGGGGCTTTAATGTGGGTTATAGGGCTGTACGTTGCGCTATGGGGCCATATGGAGGACTATAGGGCCATATAGGGGGCGCTATGAGGCCATATAGGTGGCCTATGGGGCTATACATGGCACTATAGGGCCGTATAGGGGGCACTATGGGTCCGTAGGGTGGGCTACGGGGCCATATAGGGGGTGCTATGGGGCTGTAGGGTGGGCTATAGGGCCATATAGGGGGTGCTATGGGGCTGTAAGGTGGGTTATGGGGCTCTACGTTGCACTATGGGGCCATATGGAGGGCTATAGGGCCATACAGGGGGCGTTTTGTGGCTGTAGGGTGGGCTATGGGGCCATATAGGGGGTGCTATAGGGCTGTAGAGTGGGCTATAGGGCTCTACATCGCACTATGGGTCTGTAGGGTGGGCTATGGGGCTCTACATTGAGCTATAGGGCCATATATAGGGTGGGCTATGGGTCTGTAGGATGGGCTATAGGGCCATATGGGGGGCGCTATAGGGCTGTAGGGTGGACTATAGGGCTCTACACTGCGCTAAGGGGCCATATGGTGGGCTATAGGGCCATATAGGGGGCGCTATGGGGTTCTACATTGAGCTATAGGGCCATATAGGGGGCGCTATGGGGTTCTACATTGAGCTATAGGGCCATATAGGGGGCGCTATGGGGTTCTACATTGAGCTATAGGGCCATATAGGGGGCGCTATGGGGTTCTACATTGAGCTATAGGGCCATATAGGGGGCGCTATGGGGTTCTACATTGAGCTATAGGGCCATATAGGGGGCGCTATGGGGTTCTACATTGAGCTATAGGGCCATATAGGGGGCGCTATGGGGTTCTACATTGAGCTATAGGGCCATATAGGGGGCGCTATGGGGTTCTACATTGAGCTATAGGGCCATATAGGGGGCGCTATGGGGTTCTACATTGAGCTATAGGGCCATATAGGGGGCGCTATGGGGTTCTACATTGAGCTATAGGGCCATATAGGGGGCGCTATGGGGTTCTACATTGAGCTATAGGGCCATATAGGGGGCGCTATGGGGTTCTACATTGAGCTATAGGGCCATATAGGGGGCGCTATGGGGTTCTACATTGAGCTATAGGGCCATATAGGGGGCGCTATGGGGTTCTACATTGAGCTATAGGGCCATATAGGGGGCGCTATGGGGTTCTACATTGAGCTATAGGGCCATATAGGGGGCGCTATGGGGTTCTACATTGAGCTATAGGGCCATATAGGGGGCGCTATGGGGTTCTACATTGAGCTATAGGGCCATATAGGGGGCGCTATGGGGTTCTACATTGAGCTATAGGGCCATATAGGGGGCGCTATGGGGTTCTACATTGAGCTATAGGGCCATATAGGGGGCGCTATGGGGTTCTACATTGAGCTATAGGGCCATATAGGGGGCGCTATGGGGTTCTACATTGAGCTATAGGGCCATATAGGGGGCGCTATGGGGTTCTACATTGAGCTATAGGGCCATATAGGGGGCGCTATGGGGTTCTACATTGAGCTATAGGGCCATATAGGGGGCGCTATGGGGTTCTACATTGAGCTATAGGGCCATATAGGGGGCGCTATGGGGTTCTACATTGAGCTATAGGGCCATATAGGGGGCGCTATGGGGTTCTACATTGAGCTATAGGGCCATATAGGGGGCGCTATGGGGTTCTACATTGAGCTATAGGGCCATATAGGGGGCGCTATGGGGTTCTACATTGAGCTATAGGGCCATATAGGGGGTGCTATGGGGCTGTAGGGCAGGCTATGGGGCCATATAGGGTGCGCTATGGGGATGTAGGGTGGGCTATAGGGCTACATATGGCGCTATATGGCCATATAGGGGGCGCTATGGGTCTGTAGGGTGGGCTATGGGGCAATATAGGGGGCGCTATGGGGCCAAAGGTGGGTTATGGGGCTCTACATTGAGCTATAGGGCCATATAGGGTGCACTATGGGGCTGTAGGGTGCACTATAGAGCTCTACATTGCACTATGGGGCCATACGGTGGGCTATAGGGCTATATAGGGGGTGCTATAGGTCTGTAGGGTGGGCTATGGGGCCATATAGGGGGTGCTATGGGGCTGTAGAGTGGGCTATAGGGCTCTACATTGTGCTATAGGGCCATATGGAGGTCTATAGGGCCATATAGGGGGCGTTTTGTGGCTGTAGGGTGGGCTATGGGGCCATATAGGGGGTGCTATAGGGCTGTAGGGTGGGCTATAGGGCTCTACATCGCACTATGGGTCTGTAGGGTGGGCTATGGGGCCATATAGGGGGCGCTATAGGGCTGTCGGGTGGGCTATAGGGCTGTACATTGCGCTATGGGGCCATATGGTGGGCTATGGGGCCATATAGGGGGAGCTATGGGGTTCTACATTGAGCTATAGGGCCATATAGGGTGTGTTATGGGGCTGTAGGGCGGGCGATGGGGCTCTATATTGTGTTATGGGGCCATATGATGGGCTATAGGGCCATATAGGGGGTGCTATGGGGCTGTAGGGTGGGCTATGGGGCCATATAGGGGGTGCTATGGGGCCAAAGGGGGGTTATGGGGCTCTACATTGAGCTATAGGGCCATATAGGGGGCGCTATGGGGCTGTAGGGCGGGCTATGGGGCTCTATATTGTGTTATGGGGCCATATGATGGGCTATGGGGCCATATAGGGGGTGCTATGGGGCTGTAGGGCAGGCTATGGGGCCATATAGGGGGCGCTATGGGGCTGTAAGGTGGGCTATAGGGCTCTACATTGTGCTATAGGGCCATGTAGGGGGCATTATGGGGCCATATAGGTAGGCTATGGGGCTCTACATTGAGCTATGGGGCCATATAGGGTCCGCTATAGGACCATAGGGCACATACAGGGCTGTGTATGCTGCACTATAGGTCCATACAGTGTGCCATAGGGCCATAGGGTGTCTTATAGGCCCATATACATCGCGCTATAGGTCCATACAGGGTGCTATGAGTCCATATAGGTCAAGCTATAGGTCCATATAAGGTGCTCTATAGGACCATGTAGCACATACGAGCTCTACATGGGGCACCATAGGTCTATGCGGTGCACTATAGGGCCCTACGGTGTCCTATAGGTCCATATAGGGTCCTATGGGTCCATATACATCGTGCTATGGGTCCATATAGGGTGCTATAGGTCCATATACACTGAGCTATAGGTCTGTATATGACACTCTATAGGACCCTACGGCACATACAAGCCCTATATGGGGCACTGTAGGTCCATGCGGTGCACTATAGGGCCCTACGGTGTCCTATAGGTCCATATAGGGTCCTATGGGTCCATATACATCGTGCTATGGGTCCATATAGGGTGCTATAGGTCCATATACACTGAGCTATAGGTCTGTATATGACACTCTATAGGACCCTACGGCATACACAGGACCATATATGGTGCGCTATAGGTCCACACGCTGCCCTATAGGGCCCTACAGTGTCCTACGGGTCCATACAGGGTCCTATGGGTTCATATGGGTCAAGCTATAGGTCCATATAGGGTGCTCTATAGGACCCTACGGCATACACAGGACCATATATGGTGCGCTATAGGTCCACACGCTGCCCTATAGGGCCCTACAGTGTCCTACGGGTCCATACAGGGTCCTATAGGTCCATATACATCGTGCTATGGGTCCATATAGGGTGCTATGGGTCCATATAGGTCAAGCTATAGGCCCATATATGGCGCTTTATAGGACCTTACAGCACATACAAGCCCTATATGGGCACTATAGGACCATACGGTGCCCTACAGGTGTATATAGGGTCCTATAGGTCCATATGGGTCAAGCTATAAGTCCATATAGGGTGCTATAGGTCCATATAGGTCGACCTATAGGCCCATATATGGCACTTTATAGGACCCTACGGCACATACAAGCCCCATATGGGGCACTATAGGTCCACACGGTGCCCTACACCCCCCTACGATGCCCTATAGCCCCCCCC